TGATAGGTTTAATATTTCGAGCTGAAATTTTTACTGTGAGGTCATCATACCTAGATACACCATCTCTGAAAGTTTCATTAAGATCGGATGCTCGTAAGCAGAAATGGATTTTTGGGTGGGGGGTGGGTCTTAACTTGGCGTAAAATACTGGTCGAGTACCGCTAATAAGTCACTTCACCAATCATCGACGAACTGTATGGTCCAAGCAAAACATGAGTCTTACATTGCTCTGATGATTCATTTTCTCTCTTTATAGTTTAATGTGTCTCTTCTACAGACGAATCGAGAGTATCACGTAATTAACACATCCAGCAGAGCAAATAACATTGAGAAAAACGAAAACATCTAATTCTACAGTAGTTCAATCACATGTAATGGAGAATAATAAATTCTTTGTTTTCTTGAAGGTTATGATCTATCAAGTTCTAAACTGAAAAAAGAAAATCTGAAAAGATGCTAGGAAAATAGCAGAATTGATCCTATTTAATTTGTTCTACAGTTTTGATCCCGCGAAAAGCTTATGAGGAAAGGACCACAAGTTGCAAATCGTTTTTCCGATGAAACCAGCTGTCCTGTGTGTAATTGATGACGTTGATTCCCAGTATGAACATTGAAGTTGCTCTTGGGCTTTTGTTAACCAATTTTCAGATAATCAGACACCAGATCCAGAATATTTTCTTGAATTGGCTGTTTTGTAGAGGACACAAAGTTGTCTATGTCTGATTAGTTTTCGTTTTTCAAAACAAAAACTAACAGCGTAGCAAAATTTTCTAAAAGAGTGGTTTTAATGGAAAATGTTGCAGTAGGATACTTTGCAAAAATCATAGGATCCGTTCAGTGTTTATTGTGAAAAACTAAAACTTATGAAACAGAGACAGTTTTGTGTCCTCTACAAAACAGCTGATTCAGAAAAATTTTCTGGATCTGGTGTCTGGTTATCTGAAGATCCAGTTTTCAGAAAACTGGTCAACAAAAACCTAAGGGTAACTCCAATGCTCATATTTGGAATCAACGTTATCAATTACACATAGTCCATCTAATCTTATCGAAAAAACAATTTGAAGCTTGGGGCCCTTTCCTCATTCGTTATTGTTTCTTTTGCAGAATTCATTCTTATTTTCTTGTTTGTTTATGTCCTACGTCTGACCGATACAGGTATATTTATACGTACAAAATGTCAAGGTGTTTCTAGTTATGATTTTTCGCTCTTTTCTAAACATAAACTGTGTTTATCGTACAATGACAAGTAGAAAGTGGAGCAATATTTTAAAGATTTCCATTTAAAGGTTGTAAAAATGGCTTGAAAGTATATGCTTGTATTTATACTAATGGTCTGATGATGATATGGGGTTCGAGAGCCATTCCAGTATTAATTGGACAAAGAAAAAGTAGAGATAGATTGAAAAATGGTATTGTCAAAAGACTGAACTGCTCAGACGTCTGTCAACATACACAGTTCATTCAATGATGTATAATTTCTTGTTCTGAATAAAAAGTAAACAAAAGAGATTTAGGAGATGTATCATGGGATAGGTGCGATGAACATGATTCACATAAACATCTAGCACGTGTGTACCTACAGATGTACAAGATAAGCAAACAACCAGAATCAATTCTACTATTTTTCTGGCATCGTTTCACATTCTCTTCTTTCACCTTAGAATTTAAATGTGATGAACTAGATTCTTAACATGTCAACCAGTGTGCGAGAATGACACTTCAACGATTCAGGATGCGGCTAGTATTTTCATCAGTCGCAAATTTAGTAACTTCTCTATTTTATAGATGTAAAGAATGGTTCTGAAGAAATTATGGTCTCACGTCGAAGATGGCTTTTTTTTATCATTCTTACACTTTCGTAGTGATCAATTACATTTTTTTTATTGAATTATGGATTTTTTTTGTATTTGACATCCGATTGTTATCTTAGAAGTACTATTTAAAAACAGTTTTTCTCTTTTTCCTTTTTCGTATCGACTGTGCTGAGACTAAGATCATCAGCTGCAGTATAATAGTTGCAGCATACAGTTTCTTATATATTGGAATGATAGTGTAGTACGATGGTAGTCGTTTGGTAGTCATTTAGATTGTATCAATACTAGAAGTTGGATTGATTGGTAGTTGAATTGATCGAAATTTGAGTTAGATGAGTTTCTTTTAGAAATTAGAAGTAATGTTGACTAATTTAAACGCAATATAACATGACTTAGTGACACGAAATATAGAAACTAACTTCTCCTAACTACGACTACCGAAAAACTGCAGGCGTGGTTTAGTACGCGTACAGGAACGAAGAACGCCTAGTGAATTCCTAATCTCAATCATGAACTTGCATTAATGGTATTCTATTAATTCCTATTAAAAATGATTATTTCTAATGACAATTTGTAATTAATCTTATTCAAAAAACAAAAAAGATGTATGATTGAAAAGTATGAAAACAAAATGCACTATTGACAACGAAAAGCAGCAGACAATTGACTCACGTACATAATCATCATTAACGATGTCTTCTAGAAGTCTCGGAAAACAGGGTCTTCAAATAATATTTCTTTTCGGGATATTTCTGCAACTGAACTACAACTGAACTTTTTTATATCAGTAATTCATATCAGTAGAAATAAGAAAAATATGTACGGTATATCAACATATATAGTAATTAAATTAATTTTGTGCGAAATCTTTAATTTCATATTTATGAAGTATTTCATTAAAAAAAGCAAAAATACATAATGCAGTACTAATCACATTTAATTGAACTTCCTGTATATAGGCTAACGACAATATTACCTCATAATCTGATCTATTTTTGATGTCATCAGTTTTACATAACACTGACAAATCCAGGTAGTAACAACAATTTAGAGAAGTTCCGTCGAGTCAATATGTAATCGGAATGATTAACTAACAGAGAGTCTGTCTGTTTATAATAAATTCAAAATCATATCACTTCACTAAAAATCATTTGTTTTCGAGTATTTATTTACTCATACTATAATAATCTTTTATAATCGGTCTTCTATTTATGTTTTATTTACTCAATTGATTCAAACCAATATCAATCATTATGATTAATACAGAACAGTCAAATTGCTCGTTCGATATTTGTTATTACCTATACAAAAATTAATAATTCTATGTAAATGAATATTTCTGATCTCTACCCCCCTCCCCCCTGCCCCATATTTTAATGTCGATCACATAGGACATTGTATATTTGTTGATATTATACACAACTTAAGAAAAAAATAGAACTAAGAAAAAAAACTTTGGTTTTTTCAACCGTGAATCAACGATGCCATCGCACAAAGGTAAGTAGAAAAAGGAGGAAAAACGTCAAGAATTCTACAAAATTTAGGGACTGTATATAAACGAATATATTTTTTCTCAGGTTGTTATTTATATTCATAACGACTTTTTGAAAAAGAGTACAGAGTGGTGGCCACGACGAACATTTACGAGTAAGAACATTTTATCTTGAAAGAAATGTATTAGAAAAAAAATCTTATTTATCATTTTGAAAGGGTAAAGTCTACGTTTGATTTTTCATTGAGACAAGTCATTTTCCAATCGAATATGACGCTATTTTATGTACTTGAAACAGAAGGATCTACAATTCGTTTGGAGTGGACGATGGAAAAGAGAAATAGGATTTATCTTGTGCAGCATTTTCTACTCAGATTGTGCTCATTTCATCTTCTAGTACGAAATACTCGTTTTAAAAGTAAATTTTTGTTTCAAGATTTAAAGAGATTGTTTACGATGTCTAATTAGAAAATCTTTCCAGATGATCCAAAGTTTTTCTAATTAAAGCTAATTTTTCCAGAGAAATTCTTGATGCTAATCATGAGTGTTATGTCTATCTATGCCCATATTGAGATCTTGAATGTCTCTTAAGAAGTCTAATCGTGAAATGTCTCTTAAAGTCCATCATGAATTTGAGAATCAAGAGATTCTAATTCTACGTGACAGCTTGTCCGACTAATGGTCGACAAGCATGATTGAAATTGAACACTCAGATTCTCGTACACAAAACAATTGATCTTATTCATTTAAAATTTTTATGTAGATTTTTGTATATTCTCCGTCGATCTATCTAATTTCTTTTTAATAATTACGAGAAGAAATGGTACTTATCAGTCAAAAATTCAATATTTTTTGTGAAAAAATGGCTTGAAAAGGCTCTGTTGTCACTTACTATATTTCGAACACTACTTTATCTCGAATAAAAATGGAAACATTATTAACATAAAAAAACAGTAGTAGCAGCTTGAAATACACAAATGAACATCATTACTTTGATGTTTTAAACCGATATTTCCAAATACGAAATAAAATTTTAGATATAGAATTTTTCTGTGAAAATTCATGTCTGCGCGTTACCAAAACGTCTGTGCGTTACCTAATGTTTTGTCGATATCTCGCTAATTTTGCAAGGTATCAGTATTTTCTCTTTACCAAAAGAGGTTACGAAATCCTCTTTCGCACAAGTCATTAATATAAAATAGTTCGTAGGATTTATGACTTCTTTCGCATGTGCCTAGAAAAGAGAACCGTTTTTGTCTGTGCGTTACCGACCAATATTTTAGTCATAAAATTATATATTAATAAAAATATTAGTTTCAAGTACAGGAAAATATATTTAATTTGATAGTAAACTTTTCCTAACTGAATTAAAACTTCTCCGGTAGTTCTGAATATTTTTCCACAGAGACCACTCAATAAGTTTTACGTTCATAGGAAGAGATCTGATTTTCTTTTTAAGTTTTCAAGCGATATTTTCAAAAATTTAAAAGGTTTGTTTCTCTGAGATGTAAGAAATCTCTTAAAGGATTTCGGGTCAGCCGGATCGCTGAAAGTAAAATGACCTTATCGCAGCCTAGATGTGCTAGAAGGCTCGAAGATGTCTCATTTTGCTCAGAATTTGACACTCTGTCGATATGATGCGCTTGCGTCGAAAACGATTTCCGAAAGACTCTTGGAGATTTCTCACATTTCGGGTTTTTTGCAAAATCTACTTGGAAAACGCCAAACCTCTCAAACGTATTTCTAACGTGTTTAGCATTGCTTTTTACCTAGAAAACTATAATAGCAGTTCTCTAGGTGGAGATATCACTGAGCTATGGGCTCATCATCTGAAGGATTGATTTTTCGAAAAACTCGCACTTGTTCAGTCGTTTCCTAATTTCTCCTAAAAGGAAAAACGTTTTGAAAAAAACGAAGCATACTTTTGTGGAGCAAGGCAAGGCGAATCTTCTGGCGTATAAAAGAAGTCTCTAGCTCTCATGGCAAAAAACTAGATAGCATTGAGCGGTGAGAACCTCAAGGTTTGAGTGATCAATGTTTGATCAGCTACAAGAATTTAAGACTTGAAGAAAAGTCATCAAATGACAAGTGCCTGGATGTGCTTCGCAATACTGAATCCAAAAATCGCATCGGTGAGATCGAAAAATGAAAAGATCAGGAGATAATCGGGATTTTTCTGAAAAATCGGTTTTTCGAGGTTTTTGACGCTCTGACAGTATTTAGAGATTTTCGGCATGAAAACTCGATTAAATCGAAAAAATAAGATAAGATTCGTGATCAGCAGCGTCCGACGAATCAGAATATGTGTTTGAAAATTCGAAAGCTTTTCCACTTGAGTTTTAAATTAGCAGCACCTTAACTGGACTACAGTATTCTTCCTAACTGTAACAAAAGAGATGTAAACGATCGATCTTCTCGGAAAAAATCAAATAAAAAATTGAAGAAAAAGATAATTTGGATAGTTTTGGCCGTTACTGTAATGACATTCGTTATTAAAAATGAGAATCGATTTTGAGACTTTCCAAAGAAAAAAAAATAATCTGTATAAAATGAAAAGAAACGCGAACGAATAGAGCGAAAAGAAAATAATGTCTATATTATTCATTTAAACTTTAAAATAGATAAAGATGATGGCTGATTTCAAGAGTCTTAATTTGTAAGTATTCACTGATATCACAAAGTATGAGAGAATGATGAATAATTATTTGATTACTTATCGACTACATTTAATAATTATTTTCTCAAAACTCTTTTTTTAGATAAAGCATAGAATGAAACAATTTGTAATTTTGTGCAGTATTATTTTATGTGTACAAGTCCCTTCATCAGATGGCCTTTTTCAAGGTGTTACACTCGCTGATTACATTGACAATTTATTCGGTAACGTTCAACATAAAATAGGTGATTTAGTGAATTTAAATGATACCATAACCTTTAAATTATGGACATATTTCAAAGGGCAATATAGTCGGACATATGGTTCGGCTGGTAAGTCTGTTTACATAATTAGCTAGACACAATTCTTTACTCAACTTTCTATCTTTCTTTTTTTTCGTTTAGAGGAAGAAAAGGCACGTATAAATATTTTTAAAGACAATGCTCAATTTGTAGCTATTTCCAATGCACAAAATACATTTGAGCTAGCATTAAATCAATTTGCCGATTGGACTCTTGAGGAATTCGATTTATTTAAAAAAGGTTTGACTGTTCCTCCAGGTATAAAACGATTTGAATATCAAACACGTGAATATTTTCACAAAGCTTTACGTGAATTACGTGAACATCAACGTAGTACTAGTAGACGAGAACGTCTTAAAAGGAAACGATTTTTTATCGATTGGTTTTCTGGTGGAGGCAGTGATAAAAACAATGGGGGCGGTGATAAAAATAATGGGGGCAATAAAAATAAATTAGCTAGTTTCGATTGGCGTGATAAAAACGTTGTAGGAAGTGTTAAAAATCAACTTAAGTGTGGTTCTTGTTATGCGTTTGCATCTGCAGCTGTATTAGAATCATTATACGCCATTAAAACTGGTTCAAGTGTAATAGATTTAAGTCCACAGGAACTAGTGGATTGTTCTGGAAATAGTGGTTGTAGTGGAGGTCTTTTTGAACCGACTATGGATTACGTTATAAGCCGTGGAGGTAAATTAGCAACTTTAGCTTCCTATCCTTATGTGGGTTCAAAACAATCATGCAGCTCTGGTACAACCGTGAATCTCGGACAGATCAAGTACGGTGCTGTTCCAGTCGGAAATGAGACATTTCTTGCTGAAGCCTTAGTAACATATGGCCCTATGTTTATCGGCTTGGATGCAGAGTCAAGAGCATGGATGTTCTATAAGAGTGGTATTTTAACCGAACCAAGTTGTCCTAATCGACGTCGCGACATGGATCACGCATTACTACTTGTTGGCTTTGGCGTTGATTCAACAACAAACAAAGCCTATTGGATAATTAAAAATTCATATGGTACTGCATGGGGGGAAAATGGTTATTTCCGTTTGGCTAAAGATGCGAATAACATGTGCGGTATTGCCACTATGGCCGCTTATGCAAAACTTAGTTAACGTTAATAATTAATTAATAAATTAATTAAAAAGAAAGAAAACTTTTCTTTTCTGCGAGAAATGAACGAAATGAACATTTAAAAATGAATAACTCAAGTATCCTTTTTCTGTCTTCTAGAATACATTCATTTTTTTATATTGAAATATATCATGTTTTAAGTATTATACAACTCAATATTTATTGCATTTTATAAATTTGTTTTTTAAATAGGCACGATCGACAAAATGTGATTACTAGGTAAATACAACCAAATAAGAAAGTCAACGTCTCAATTAATAAATATTGTTCGGTTTACTTCATTTCAAGACAGAAGGAGAGATAAAACAGTAAAAAGCTGATTACATGTGCAAAGGAATAACACTCTAATGTTTTAAAATGAGTTCAACAAAAATGAAAATAACAAAACAAAAAGCAAAATCAATACAGATATATGTATAAGATAAATTTAGAAAAAAGAAAACACACCGTCGTGCACATGCCAATTTTTCAAAAGATTGTAAGAAACAAAGGAAATAAACAAAAAATTTCTTACTTGCTCTTTCTTTTAATGATCAAGTTTGAAGCAACATTTTTTTTATTAAAGATAAATGATAACAAAAGAAGAAAAAGAACGAAGACTATATGAATGCGTTGACTATTTTTTAAACTTCATGACGGTGGTTTATTTTGATCAGCCGAAGTATTGTTACTATTATTAGTCGAACCACCGGGATTATTATTACTTGAGTTAGCATCTGACGATCTATTTCCCATATTTCGACGAATTGATTCAATCAAATTTGGATTGTTTGCCGATATTTCAGAAGCCATTCGCTGACCACTAGATAGAAAAAAAAAACGTAAAAAATGTTTTTATTCTTTATTCTTCGTCCTATTATTTCATATCACATACGTTTCTAGCAACGCTTCAAATCCACCTTGTCCTCCTTGTTGTGTGCCAAGATTTGTTACTAAATTGGCCATTCTAGGAAAAAAAATAAATGTGTTAATAATAACTAGAAAAATGAATTCAAGAACAAAAGATACGAACAAGCCTTGCACTTGTGGATTTTGAACAAATTGCATAGCCTTGATTAAAACAGAAAAGAAAAAAAGGAATAAAAAAGACTAAGGTTTAAGTTAATTAATAAAATGCTCACCATATTCATTAAAGAAGGATTATTGAAAAATGACATCATATCTGGACCGCCTTGTGCACCGCCCATCATCTGTCCAAACATTGATGCCATACCAGCTGGCATTCCAGATGTTCCACCCTAAAGAATAAGAAAAATATTAAGAATTTAATATAATTGATTGTAAAATGGTTCAAAAAGCTGTTTCTTATTATACATCTTGATCAAAAATTAGATTGTATTAATGAAGTATTAATTCATTTTAAACGATTAGACAGTATCGCTGGTATCCGCTGATAAACGATGCTATTCCACTTCATAGTGAAATGACGCATCATTTAAATAGAAAAAATAATTCGGTAACAGTAGAGTAATGATCATATAAATGAATTTTTGAATCAAAAAAATGCATTTCGCAGGTTTTATGAAAATAAAATGAAAAATAAATAGTTTCAAAAGAATGTCTAGTATTAATTTTTACTTTTCATGATTTTATAGATGATTTCAACACTCCATATTTGCCCCAATTTTCTAAATTTAACAAAATATTTTTCTACGTACTGTAGCGCCAGCAGTGGATCCCACATTATTTCCATTAGATGCCCCCATTCGTTCCTCACATATTTTAATTGATTGTTTGTAATGTTCATTTGTTGGTTCTAATGCTAGTGCTTGTTTATACACATCATATGCTTCGTTTACTTTGTCCATTGATAAATAAATAATTCTGAAAAGTAATAATAAAATATCTTCAAACATAAACAATAATAAAATAAAAATATTCAAAAACTATACTATTGAAAGGATCGTTACTATATGCAAATACGTAAAACATGATGTGTGAAATTTATTGGAGAACAAAGGTGTACACGATTTTTCTTTCACAAGATTACTAGGAGATGCGCGCAACCCTCCACTTTTAAAAAACGATAGTTTTTCTCCAGCAAATCTAATTTGGAAATTTTACATTTTAAAGACTGATTCTCCTTTAGACTTTGTCGAAATGGCTGCACATATATACTCAGCAAGATCACTTGAAAAATTTGTTGCCTAGATTTATTTTTTCATCGTCAAACACTTGATTCTACAAGTTGATGACAAATATCATAGAGTTAAGTCATGGCGAATCTTCTGGACTGACCTGTAAATCCTCATAACAGGAATTTATTCCATGAAATGTTTTTTTTATTGAGTATTGAATAGACAGAAAACAGGCTACTAGTCTAGAATATCAAACAGAGTACAGCGAAGGATAACAACTCAAAAAAAAGAGAAATCAAAATATGTCATAAACAGTCAACTAAGTCTGTTGTAGAAAGTCGTACATAAATTTTTCTTACCCAAGACGTCCATATGCTTTGCTATAATTTGGATCGATTGTTATTGAATGATGACAATCAGCAATAGCTTGATCATTATTTCCCAATTTATTATGTGCTGCTGCTCTACAATACAATACGAAACAAAATATTTATATAAAACTGCCAAAAATTCGTTAAAGTCCTACCTATTACAAAAATAAATGGCATTATTTCCATCAATATTAATTGCTGCATTATAAGCATTTAATGCTTCTTTATATTTTTCTTGTTTAATCAATTCATTTCCTACAACAATGAAACACGATTATTATTTTTTTTTCTTTTCATTGTGATGAACAAAGTGACCATCATTTTTGAGTTTATCTGCTTGTTGACGCATATCGTCTGTTAATGAAATTGAAGAAAATTGTGTATTTGTGTGAGATGACCAGGATGGAGTGTTAACGATCGAAGACGTTGTTGATGTTACTAATGATAACAAATCGACTGGTGGACCATAAATTCTATCACCTTCTTGATTATTCAACATTACATCGTAGGCTGTTTCAAGGCATTGAGCAGCAACTAAAACACATGAAACAATGCATTTACAAGCACTAAATAATAAAAATTCGAACCTTCCATGCTTTCTCGTCTTTCAGCATTTGTTGTTTCAGTTCGAATTTCATTATCCAAAAATTTTAATATAGAATAAATCAACTGCTTCCGTCGCACCTGTTGTTCGGCCATCTGAAAACAAATGTTAATTAAAAATAAAACAAGAACGCTACATTCACATGCATATACTCCATTACAATTTTGTTTCATAAAAATATGATTGTTATTTTACTTTTAAAACTTTTCACATACAAAATAGATTTCCCATAAACCAGATTAAGATGAGATGAGATATGCATCAGCATGGGTGTCCATAGCTGGATGAAAGACGACTGTTAAAAACATGATGTTAGTTGATGATTGTAAACAGTATCACTTAACCTCAGATTAAGAAATATGAAAATATTTTGAAACTTTCTGATTATGCTAAATTTTTATTATTATAGATATTGTAATGAATAATGATAAGGAAGAGAAGCGAATTACTTATTATTCCAGTCGGTGGAAGATGTATCGAAGGACGAGGAGTGAACTGTATGAGAAAAAAGAGTATTTGCAATAAGAAGTGAAATACGAACATTAGAATGATGAAAACGTAAAAAATATAGTGAGGAAGATGGATAAAAAGCAGAAAAAGGACTACGATGATCATAATTTTTAAAGAAAACTTCTCTTTTTGAGAAAGAGAAAACTGAGCCCAATATCCGAAAGAGTAGAAAAAAAATAATTCGAGGCCGAATCTCTGGTGGTGCTAGTCCAAAGATACGATCTAATGCTCTCAGCTTGTGCTGATATGCAAGAGTAATGTCTGTAACATGCTCGCTCTACCTCAGATCGTGAGAAACAAGGCAATTGTGGTATGAGTGGCTCTATACTTATACTATATCTCCAGCAAAATAGAGATTTCAATTGATTTTGGGCAGAGAGGGGAGGGCTATAATTGTGGCTGTAAGCTTATAAAAATATCTTACGGAGAGCACTGAAGCGAAAATAGAATGATTTTATCTGAGGTTGCGTCACTTTTTGTTCCAATAAAATAAATCAATCAGTCATGAAATACTTATGAAAGAAAAACAGACTTCCAAGTAATATAAAAGGTGACCATACTCGTATTTGCACGTCTACGCGGAAGATTAACACAGAAAAGTTGACATAAAAAGTAGTTTTTTATGCTGCTGTTACATTTTTCGCGACGGAAAATCAAAGCAAAAATTTTTACGAAAAGTCAGAAATTCCAGGGAGAGATGCCAGCCCCTCCCTGATGGGGATCGCTGGCCAGCAAAAAAAATGAGATAATCAAACACTTTATACATCTGTACAGCGGCGTATCCAAGGGGGGGGGGGGCAAATGGGCAATTGCCCATTTCATTTGGGGATTTGCCCATTGTATTTTTACTTAGCAGATATACCCAGGCGGTTGCTTTT